ATCTGTTCATATTAATTCTCTAATTGGCATAATAATTAATAATTTTTTGGTTCTAATCACATTTCAATGAAACTTGGTACATAGATATTACATTACGCAGATCTTATTACTTTTACATTGTGCAGACCTTATTAAGTTTTATAGTTAAATCTGTTCATATTAGTAACCTTATTTGCATAAGCTTTTCTATCAATATCTCAAGTTCAATACTCTCAGCACACAGGAGTTCTTTCTAAGCTTTCTTTGATTTATTAATGTTTTTGAAAAGACAGTATGATTAGCGGTCTAAACAAGGGTTCATCATCACTCCAATAGACTGGCTGACGCCATTTGGTAAATAAAATTATTGTCGTGCTAACCGCTTATGGTATCTTGGGTGACAGTTTCCACACATGTTGGGGTACTGTAAAACCATTTATTTTAAGTGGGTTTTAAGTTCACAAAATTGGCAGGGAAAAAAGTTCTATTATACATCTTTGTGTGGATTTAATTTAAAGATTTTACTTATCGGCGCAAATTTAAAAAATGGTGAATAATTAATGTTTACGGTATATGAAAAAAAACATGTCAAAACAAACAATTATATTTCTGTGGGGATCTCTACAGTTTTGTTTTTGAACAGAACAAGTCAATAAACTCAACATAACACATTCACAAACTTGCATTGTCACACGCAACGTAATATTACCGTAATTGGTATAGTACAGGTGTGATGGTTCAAATACCAAAATGGCAACAGTAACAGAAAGACTTCCCTGGCGGCGATGATAAAATACGAACACGGAGCCAACAGATGAGGTTTCAACTGCTACTGGTATTATTATACTCTGCAAACATCAAATACAATAACGCGGTAAAACTCCACTACTCCAATAACTAGATACTTAAACTCCAATACAATTCAACGAGATCTCCGATCTGATCTCAGTGCTGAACAACTTCCCTATATATACCCACACTGTCTATAACATTCTCAGTGACACGGAAGTGGTAAATAAGTCGTATGCGACATGCATACAAAATAATTACAAAATACGGAAATCTTGTTCAGCCGGTGTTTTTTATTTTTATTGTAAATTATAATGGAATAAAATAATAATGTCAGATATAATAAATAAATGCCCTGGATGAGTGTGTTTTTTATCAACACAATGGAATAAACCAGTCCCCGGAAAGTCTGCTCAATAGGATTAACCTTTTCACCATCAGACTTCCTCACCCAAATTTTTCTGCACTTTTTTTTCTTGTATCCTTCAATATTTCTGGGGAAAAACCCTAATTTTGAAGTAAACAGACAAAATTTTAGTCAATTTTCAGTGTTTACTCAAGAAATGTTATTTTTGTACCAATTGTCTGAAGGAAAGTGCAGACTATAAATGGAACTATTTTGTGATGAAGAAGGATTTGGTGGTGAAAAGGTTAACCATTTGAACACCATAAATTTTCCCACCCAAACGTTATAGTACATATTTGCTATATTTTTTTTTTTTTGTGTTTTTTTTGGACAAAATTTGGATTACAGTTTCTTGATCAACAATTTCAAGAAGTACGGGAAAAAAAAAAAGTATGCAGGTTTACATTATTAAAGGTGACAATTTCAACTACGGTGTCAAAGCACGGTTAATAACAATAGCTATAGTAATATATTTGCTTTATATAGAAGCAATACTCTTAAACCATAAATGTTCTGTTCGAACAGGTGATTGCCATGTTGCTATATTTACGATACCACAGAAATAGCCACCATATTGGCACCCAAACATAATCAAAATATGGTCAGATATTTTGAACACAAAGTTCTGTAACAATTTGTCTGAGAAATTATCTAAATGAGTTGATGCATTTTAAAGGTTGTCTATCAATTTATTCAAATAATTCATTATCGTGGAATAAATAAATCTATAACAGAAGAGGAAGATAAATATATTGCTATGACAACCATCTGTAATATTATAGGATATCCAACACTGGAACTTACACTGAAATGTACTGTAGAATGTTATATTTTCATTGAATTTATTTACAATGAAAAAAACACCCTTTGGTACATTGATTTTGAAGAGTTTATTCGTGGGAAGCTTCTTGAAATGTAGTAAAAACATTTTCATTGAAATTTATGGTCACAGCTTTTGGTTAATTTCGAGCCAAAATGAAGTCATCATTGTATTCTATCCCATAATATTATAGCAGAAGTCAGTTCAGAATAAAAATTGGAGCGATATAATTCTGAAATAAATAAAACGAGTTTTACCAAAAACACAAAAAACAGACTAAAATGAATTTGTAGTATTAATGTCTCGCAAAAAAAAAATGTCTCTGGTCAAACTTTTTTTCAAAAATGGGATGAAACAATTTTTGTTGTTGCTGAAATATTTTAGGTTTCATTATTTCGTCAACAGAATGGCCTTTTTTTAGTAATGTACACGCTGATCAGAAACATAATTTTTTTTTATTAAAGCCAGATCAGATTTTGGTGTACACAGATAGGATATTAAGCGTCCAACATATTTTGCGCATGTCGCATCTCAGCCACACAGGCTGTATGGTCAAACAGAATGAACATGTGACACACCACATTCACATGGCAGTTAGAAATAAACACTGGGTAAGCGTAGAATGTTGACACGAAGCGATTCTCTATTTCTGAAATGCGTCATTCAAATCCTCTATTATTAACAGATGTAGAAATACAAATGAATCAGAATCAATCTGAATGTGGTGTGTCACATGACATCAAATCAACCACTCTGTATTACAAAAAAATCTAGTTTAACCAAGAAGAGTTTAATCATATCAAGCTACACTATTCAGATTTTTCATTAAAACTATATAAAAGTCTAGCTATTTGATTGCGCTGAATTTGTGACCATAACATACTGGTACAAGATTTGATGCAATTGGTAGTAATGAAATCTTATAGTTGCGCTCATGCAGCTTTTCAGCACGGGCTAAAAGGTCATATATGTTAGCCTGTACAAAGAAATACACGCATGAATGAGAACTAAGAAAGGGTTAGACCTTAGAACCGACTTGCAAAGTGTGTGAACAGCCAGCTTCGATAAAGCAGCTTCTAAGATATTTGGCAATATCTTATATAAAGACAGTACACGGTCTGCTACGTGTCTGTCGACACTCGCTGTACCATATTCGTGAAGAATTTGCGGCATCGCAAAAATGACGTAATATATTTGTAGCATACTAAATAATTAAAATATTTTGACCATAGAAAAATTTACGTAAACGCATGTGCGACTAATAGAACAAATACGATATTCATAGAAAATAGACTTATTCCTGTTATTCTGCAAATTGTGTTTTTGCATTTTTTTTGTTATTGTATGTTGTAACCATAGAGCTAAGATGTATATCTCCCTGGTAACAGAACTGATTGACAAGTTTAGCAATTTTAGTACCCAGAATTATTAATGTTTGGAACGTCCCTTAGTCCGTACCACAGTTGGTCCTTCCTGTACGTGGACACAACTAGGTCTAAGCCAGCATGCAAACATATGGTAATTAGTGTAATAAAGTCCTAATCAACACTAAAGTGTAGTCTGAAGACAGCCAGTCTGAGGTAGAGAATTTGTGTTCTGAATAATATATATTATAATATGTAGTATTAAGATATACCATCTCAGCAACAGAATTGTTTGTTTGATCATTTGGGAATCTAATAATAGTAAATAAAATACAACTATCAGATTTACCAGATGGTACAGAGCCGTGTTTCCGGTAACCACTAGCAACTGGTTTCAATTTAGTGGATCTGTCAGGATACTGTAAAGATGTCATATTGCTGACATTTAACCTTTTCACCACCAGACTTTCTCACCCAAATTTTTCTCCACTTTTTTCTTATATTCTTCAATATTTCTGGACATGAACACTAATTTTGGAGCCAACAGATAACATTTGAGTAAATTTTCAGCTTTTACTCAAAACATTTGGCTATTTTTGTGCCAATCTTCTGAAGAAAAGCGTGGACTATTTTGTGAATTTGTGATGAAAAGGTGGTGAAATGTTAATGTCCTGTGTGGTCAGTAAATACTGCCGCCAATGTAGAGTGGATCTGAATATTGCACAATCGTATGAGCTTCCAATAAAGAAATATTATTCTATTACCTAACAACATTGATACTCTGAGAACAAATTAAGAGGGCATGTATTATGATTTAAATATGAGTAACAGGTAGGTAGGGAATCTTTATATTTTTTCCAATCAAATCCCACCAAACCCCCTAACAACGTTCAAATGATTGTACCCTTATACAATGGTCCCAATGCATCATGGGAATGGCTGGAATGCCTGTATATAGTGCGAGTGTGGAATGTAGTGTCTGTGTGTTTTTTGAGAACCCATTATTTTATAATAGATGAATTAATTTAAGTTTGTCACTTTGTCTCGAAGTAAACATGGCAAGTTCAGTAAACATAGGAAAACAATTACACATAAAGCCGATTTCCTGTAAATTCCATCTTGCATTATCTTTGGCACAAGATGTCCAATCCTTTGATGATTTTTGTGGAAAATCTTGCGTGAATACATGGCACCAGTGTTTGGCTGATACATATGTGACAAAACTGAATTCACACGTCATCGTTACGAACACGTCATTAGCATGTACACGTCCTTGGCACGCACACGTCATTGGTATGCACACGTCTTCAATGAGGTAAATTTCACCTGTTAATTCAGCCTTGGGTTCTCATCCATCCACAATATTATTCAAGTTAGTAAAGAACTAAATAAAAACGTCTTTTTCCATTCAAGGATGTAAGTCTCTATGACAACATAAACAAGACAAATTAGAAACTGGTCATCTCGCAATTTTCATATATTTTTTTTAAAAAAACATCATCCATCCTGATGAAGAGATTCAGTGGAAGGAAAGCTTTTCCTCATCGTTACCACTTCTTGGCAAAATCAGTGATTCTAGCAAGCCAAAATGGTTTATTCGGTCAAGCCAATCAAGGTAAGTATAGTTTGTTGGCTCAAGCCCCAAATGTCTGCATTTTTCACACAACACAATATTTTATATAATTCATCAGCTCCAGAAGCTCAATTTCTTTCTCCTAGTGCCCGGCGTTATAGTACTATTGCTCTTATCTTCATCTAACTTCTTTTGCATCCTGTTGCCTAGTAACGATTCCATGTCAACCTAGCAACAGATAATAGACAAAAAAGAAAAACATTGTTTTATAAACTGATCCAGTACAAAAGTTTTCTTGAGCAGCTCAGTCATGTATACAAGAAAAAGAAAAATCATTCTATTATGCAAATGAGTTGTTTCCATGGGAACTGAGAAAACATACCTGCCATTGGTCCAGCTGCTGTGATAGTTCTATTTTCTGTTGAATAGCTTCAAGTAGCTGACTATCGAGATTCATCATATCAATCTTGGATCTCGTCAACTGCAACTCCACAGCATTTTTCCTGCGTAACCAAGTAATAGGCATGAATTGATGACATCACAAAATTGTAGATTATGCAGCAGATAACCAAACAAGTTGATAACGCTGAATTTCAGCACTCATTACCGATTTTTTTTTCCCGTTGAACAATCAATACTATGACAGAACCACTATATGTGCCAACAGTATAAATAGCAGGTGGACTGAAAACTTACTTGGCTATTGCTCCATCTCTTTGAACTCTTGCTTGTCTTACATCTTCTTCTCGCTTAATTATATCTTCTTGGTGTTGTTGTTCTGATAAAAGTCTTTCTCGTTGAAGGACATCCACCTCTCTTTCCGTATCATGCAACTGTGTAGATGTCACATATTGAAAACAAATTAGACAATATAGCGACGATGGGATCAATTCATTACAAGTTGCTTATGAAAAGAAAAACATATACTGACTAAATTTTTGTTTCTTGTTTGTTTATTTACAGACACAATATAACAAGCATGGTGATGATCAATAGACCAAATTTCTTTTTCAAAATCATGAACCTCACAAAAAACTTTTCAGCTGAAAATTTGTGCAAATTCTGTAATTATGCCTAAAAATAGATTTCTACAAGTTGTGAGATGTGAATATAAACAGAAATGTTTTTTATCAATTTTAATTTTCACAAAATTACACATTATTTGGGTTTTCGATTAAAAATTGTTCAATCATTCTGATTAGATTATGAGAAAAACAATGTATTAGGAGGTAAACAAAAATACAATAATGACTTCTACCAACTGGATAATTTCAAAGCAATTACAATTAATTCTTTAAATTTTAGTATTAACCTATAGTCTGGTGAAAGCCTCTACGAATAACCGAAATGAATCAGTAAAAAAATGGCATCCACAAGCAATGTAACAAAGATTCTGAATCAACAATAACTGAACAGCATGACAAAACATGATTTGACACTTTGCATAATATTAAAATAATTTTTGCATTCACAATTAGCATAATGAATAGGTAACTATTTGCATAAATAACTAAATTTGCATAAATTAAACAGAAAACTATATACAAGGTGTTACAGGAGTACACATTATAAACATGAACACCATAGAGTATGCAGTCTCTATAGAAATGGCAAGACAATCTTATGATAGATGGCATGGACAGACAATAGGATGGATAGCCACTAAATGAAATGATTTTAAATATATGACATGTTTATTTGCAGCGAGCCCTGTATTGTGATAGTTTTCTGTTGCCGACCACTGACCTAGCCTAGTGTTTTGATATCGACCTCTGACCCTACCTAGTGTTTCGCTGCCTACCTCTGACCTTGCCTAGCGTTCCGTTGCCGACTTCTGACCTTGCCTAGTGTTTTGTTGTCGACCTCTGACCTTGCCTAGTGTTTCGTTGTGGACCTATGACCTTGCCTAGTGTTTCGTTGTCGACCTCTGACCTTGCCTAGTGTTTTGTTGTCGACCTCTGACCTTGCCTAGTGTTTTGTTATCAACCTCTGACCTTGTCTAGTGTCTCGTTATCGACCTCTGACCTTGCCTAGTGTCTCGCTATGCTTCACTAATTTGTCATGTTCTTTTCTCAGTGTTTACTTGTGGACCATAATCTTGCCAAAGTTTTAGTTGATACTAATCTTGCCTAGTGTTAGATTGTCAACCCCTAACCCTGTCTGTTGTTTAGTTGTCAACCCTAACCTTTTTTTGGTGGAAAGTGACACGACTCTGATAAAATTGCGCTATTCGTAGGAACAGTGAGTGTTAATTATTCAAAATGGCAAAGACTAGTAGTATGTTTAACATGATATAGTCATTGTGGTTACTTTTCATTGTTCGTTCAAAATCAATGTCAACTTTCCACCTGGGAATTTAATGAAAGGAGTATTTTGTTGATTTTTCACAACTTAAAATTCAAATTAGTAATTAATACAAACGAGCCCATATGAATAAACCTTTGAGGGTTAATGAACAATAACCAGTTTACAACATTCCAACTTTCATGCAATGAGTTTTGTGGTATATTAATATATAAATAGGATGCAAAAATGGCATTACCTGAGGAAGGCAGTTATCGGCCACTGATTGCCTTGCCTGAGTATAGAGAATACAGTCAATTGATCACGGGGACGATGGATTGGGGAAGAAAAAAAAACAAAAAAAAACAACAAGACAAGCACATTAGTGACAGTATTAGTGAGTAAACATGCATTAAATTATACCCCAAGAGAAAACATGCAAAAACACGTGATAGCTGAGAAGCTGGAACGGCGGGGATATTATAAACTATTCATTCTCTAATTGAATCTTCAATAGAACTTATGCATGACCTTTGAAAGGTCATACATCCTGGTACTTTCTGGAAGTACAAATTCAACTTAACCACGCCCACCTTCCCAAAGGTAGCAGAATTATGTTCAAAAACAGTTGAACATGACAAAAATTAACCAATTTATTAAAAGTTATTGCGGTTTAAGAGCAAAAACATCCTCAAGTACCAGGATGTGTGACCTTGTTTCTCGTTTTCAGAGGGCAAGAAACTGTCAGTTCACAGATATAATAATTTCTTATTCTCTACAAAAAAAAACTTAAAAAGTTTATGACAAACACCGGCAATTATACATCATAGGAATAATTTCGTGAGTGCGTTTGGAAAAATATTTCAATGTAAACTGTAAACACGTTGTGTGCTGATGAAATAAGGTGATACACAGTATTTATTTAAATAAGGCGATTAAATGAGGCCTCAGCCTGACACAATAATCGGGAGAGTACAATAGGCACACAGCGCGTGTTCGTGTTTGCACAAATATTTGTGGTTGTCAGACAACACACTCAGAATACACATAAACCATATTTGATCTATTAGAGGTGCATCACCAATAGAAGCGCAGATAAACCCAAAATTGCAATTGCTGTATACTGAACTATTACATTGTTTTTTATTTTGACCATAGAAACACTTATAATTTAATTTACGTCAGCGTTAAGAGAGTGAATATGGTATAAGAAATGCATCTCTAATAGAAGTACACATAAAAATTTTCTGATCATTAAATTGATTTATTATGAACATAATTACACCTGTAATTTACATAAATTTAAATAATACAGCAAATATGATAATGTAATTATTCTTAGGGAACTGATCATTACCACCCAGCCGGTTTCCTGTGAGTTTGACTCGGTTTACCGTACCGGTCGTTGCTTTACCGTACCGGTCGTTGCTTTACCGTACCGGTCGTTGCTTTACCGTACCGACCGTTGCGTTACCGTACCGGCCGGACAATTACCGTACTGATAGGACCAATACCGACTATTTATCACCTTCGATTAATGAATGCATGGTAAACAAAGCCCCGGTAACTGATCAGCGCCCTGCCGGTAACCGTGAGTCATGCATGAATTAATTGGGCATTTTGCAAACAATAAGAATTTTTTTTTTACCCACCCATTGAAAGTGAATAATTTGAAAAGGACATGACTTGTACAA